AACAGACACCAGCCGAGAGGCAGAGGGTCCGGGGCAGGGGAGCCTCTACCGGGGCGATCGCCTGCCCTGTGCCCTGGGCGCCTTGCCCTGCTTGCCTGGGTCCACGTGGGTCTCTCTTCCGTCTCCCGCGCACCCTGGCCGTGCCAGCGTTTATCTCACTGTGACTTGTCTACAGGAGCTCTTGAACAAGGCCCAGCTTTTCCTCGGCTCTTCATCCGGAGCCCCTGGCAGAGTCGCTGGGACTGATGCTGAAGAGAGGGTGGGAAGGAGGAAGGAAGGAGTGGGAGACAAAGGACAGGCAGAGGGTTCCAAGGGTTTGAGAGCGCTGGGCCCCCCCCTCTCCGGACGGCTATATGTTTTGAAGCATCAATTATACATCAGCGTTTCCTGAGTTTTACTTGATTATCTTCAAGCAAGTCGCTTGATTTTCACATGGCACAGGTCCACTAATTCACTGATTAAAAAAAAGTGGAATCGAAGTCCCCAGGACATAAAACTGTGGTGACGTTACCGGAAGACGTGAGTCTCTAGGCGTCTGCTCGTCACCTTCATCCTTCCTGTCTAGGTTATGGCAAGACTTGCTGCCACGTTTTTAGGTCACTCGCTGTCCAGAGATTCCAGGTGCCCCCTCCTTAGGGTCACCCCAGACTTTTGGGATCCCGGATGTCGGTGAGCTAGTAGAGGACTGTCAGTGGGCCAACCGGTGGCATGGTGCTTGAGGCCGTTGGATCCCACATATCTGATCGCTAGGTTCGAGTCTTGGCCCTGACGGCTTGAAAAACACGCCACACGTGTATACCCCAAATCCCAAGAGGAGAGTGGAGGAGACCGGATTGCGGCGTGGCTGTCCTCTCTGTCTCTGTCTCTGTCTCCAGTGAGCACACTTGCCCTATGGCAAAACTTGAAAAAAGGAAAAGGTAGCAGCACAGTGGAAGTCACCATTTGAACTGTGGCCTCCACAGGGTCCCAGCACCCCCTCTTTCCTTGCATTAGCTAGAAACACCTGGACACACCTTATTCCAGGGGCACCTCTTGCCGACTCTGCCTCTTGTGGACTTCACAAGGCCTGTGGTCGGGACCTGGTGAACAGGGGCTGGAAGGGAAGCTGGGGGTGGGGGGTGGAATCGAACTGGGGGCTGAGGCCTCCCTCTCCTGCCTCATTTTTTCTGTGGGCCTCATTTGGTATGCAAGGAAATAAGCCAAACAGCCTGTGAAGAAAGGAAGAATGAGATAGTTTCCTCAGTTGTCTCTGCCTGAGTTGGCCAGGGATCTGGGGCTCATTCAGGCCTTTGTCCCCCGTTGAGTGCAGTGCGTGTGTGGTGACAGTGGAGTGATGCAGTTCCACGGAGGCTGATGGTAGGAGTTCCGTCAGCCCATTCATGGAGGCCGAGGAGGGTGCAGGGCCCGGAGCCGGAGCCAGCACGCAGAGGAAGTTGGAGCCCCTTGGAACGACGGCGAGGGGGGCTCTCGTCATCGAAGCTGGAGGTCTGCCCGACCTCCAGCGCTGCGGAGTGCCACCTGTCCAGGCTGACAGACGCGCATTATGGCTTTCCTTTTAATCAGCTTAATTTGGGGCATCTTAACACAATAGCTGGTGCTTGCGGAGGCTGCCGGGAAGCTGCGGTCCTAGAGCCGCTGCACTTGACATGCACGTAGCATCTCGTCATGGGCAAGGCTGGGCCTTTTCCGGCCACTTGGGCTGCACCTCCCTTTCTTGGAGCGTCTCTGGCCTGTGTGTTGAGTCTTTACCTAGAGCCCTGAAAGAGCAAAGGTATATAGGGAAGCAGAATTCTGAGGTTGGAGGCTCTCCCTTTCGAAGGCCAGGCTCTGCTTTTAACCTAGGTTTATGGGGAAGGGCCAATCTCAAGGCCTCCACATTGGCCAGTTCTGTGATGGTGCACATGTGCTCCTTTATAGTGTGGCCCCTGTGGAAATGCCGTAACCCCACTCTCCTCGCAGCCTGGCCTCCGAGCACAGGTAGCGTGGTAGATTCGAAGCAGGGTCAGTTCCTGCCAGGTGAAGCAGGGTCAGTTCCTGCCAGGTGACCCCCAGCCACCCAGTCCCATGCGTTCTCCTGCCCTCCTGCCTAAGCCCAGAAGGGGCCATGTGGAGTCGATGTGTCCAGCTGTAGGTAACGGCACCGTGACACAGTCTGTCCCTTTCCAGCGGCTCACAGGAAATGCACGTGCCCTTTGGGAGGCCCAGAAGAAGCCTTAACTCTCTGGCAAGAGTTAATACTCAGGGAGCGAGCCCTGCCAGCGGACAGTGTTAGGCTCGCTGTCCGTCACTGGTCTAGGTCCTTGGGGAGGAATTATCGTGGGTGGTTTTGACTGGTCACTTTTTGCCTTGTATACTACCCCGTCCATTAGCTTTGGCTCTGCATTTAAGATGAATGTTTTTAGATAGGAAGTGCTTAAGGTTTTCAAAGATCTGAAATGCAAGCGCTCTTAAGACTGGTATTTTCCACTGTTAGTACCCAGCAGGTGGAAACCATGAGCACAAGGCTGCCCAAGGGGCCCAGGGAGGCTGAACAGGGAGGTGAGAGAGACCCATGAGTTTGCTTATCACTGGTTGTGGGGTCAGTCAACAAGGATGAGCCACAGACAAGCTTGGGAGATGTTAGGTTCTTGGTTACCAGTCCCTGAGCCATCTCTGCTTCATTCGGGGTGGCACGGGAGCATCTGCTCCGGGGTCCTGTCTGTCTTACTCAGTAGCATCCCAGTACCAGACACTCGGGGCCCTTCACAACGCTGGCGGAAATGCTAGCACATGCCTCGTTTAAAGAAGTCTAGGGTCGCCGCCAAGCCTACTTGCTAGGGGAGCTGGATTCCACATGGCCGACTTGGGACCACAGTTAAAGTGCCAGCCCTAGGGACTTAGAAAATCATGCCAGGCATGTGTACACATGTGTGCAGAATCCCAACAGGATGGATATGTGGAGAAGGGGTTTCAGTGTGACCATGCCCCACTGGGGGGTGCTTTCTCCCTCTCTGTCTGTCTCTCTCTGGCAAACACACTCTCAGTTGCTCTTTACTCTTTGAACATCATGTTGTCTCTTATTTTATAGATGAGGAAACTGAGAGCAGACAAGTTCAATAATTTAGCAGCTTCAGACCAGCTGTTGGTGTAATGGCTGGGTCACTAGATTCCCATGTAGTCGACTGTGGTTCAAATCCCGGACCCAGTGGCTTAAACTCAACGCCGGGCATGTGTGTGTGTGCGCGTGTGTGCCCAAGATCCCTAGAGGACAATGGAGGAGAAGGGATTGTTGCGTTGCCATCCCTTCTGGGGGATGATTTCTTGCTTTCTGTCTGTCTGTCTTTCTTTCTTTCTTTTCTTTCTTTTTTCTTTTTTTTTTTGAGAAGTTTTTGTTATAGGGCGCATGCACTTGCCAGAGAGACTGAAAGTGAGAAATCACCCCCCAGGGGGAATGGCCACGCCGCAATCCCTTCTCCTCCATTCTCCTCTCAGGATCTTGGGCACATGCACACATGCGCCCGGCGTGAGTTTAAACCACCAGGTCCGGGGCTCAAACTGCAGTCAACTAAATGGGAGTCCAGCAACATAGCCATTACGCTAACTGCTCATCCCTCTGTCTCTGTCTTTCTGGCGAGCGCACATGGCCTATAGCAAAAACCTCCCAAAAAAGAAAAATTTAGCAACTGCCTGCAGAGGGTGGGTGGGCAGCAAACACAACCATTATTACATCCAGATGGTGCTTTCTCGCTCCTTAGTGCTCAGTCTGCAGGTGTTCCTGATCTAAATTTTCATTAGAAAGTGTAGTTTGGAATGTGGACTGGAGGAGAGCTAGGAAAGGAAAATTTAGGGATAGGAAAACTTTATTAATAGTTACCTCTAACTTTATTTTAGACCTTTGGAAAATAAAGAGAATGCTTTTGTGCTTGGTAAAATAGTAATCTCCAGTGCTGTGAACTGCATAGTGAAATAAACAAAGAGCTATACGTATCAAACTGGAGAGGCACGGGGGATCCAATTGGACTTAGATTCTGTGCATTCAGCTGCTTCGGCGTGTATAGTAAGCAGCCTGCAGTGGAGAGCCGGAGAATCCCTCAGCAATCTTCTCAGCTCACACCCACTCACTGCTGTGAGCCACGGCGGCTCCCTCATGACAGCCACAATCTGCCATCGTCCTCTGTGTTGCCCACTAACAGCTCTACCTGGGCACACACGTGTCTTCCCTCGGCTACAGATAGACTACTGTCAAACAGCGCTGGCACGTTCTTGCCTAGTCTCAGATTAGCCCGCTTACGTGTCCAGGATTTTGTAAACATTCTGTATGTATGTATTTATTTTTGCTTCTTATTACATGAGACAGAGAGAGAGCTAGCATCCCTGACAGGGTCGTGATGCTGTGATCTTAGCCTCTGACAGACCTGGAACATGGGCACACACACCCAGCATACCCTGGGGGGGTGGTCTCTGGACCTGAACCAGTAACTTCCCCACGGATCTGCCCCACAGCTGGTCTCCTCCCTCCACTGTGCCACATTCTGTGTTGCGTTTTCCTGAGAGTTACAGGAGCGGCAAATGAGCAAAAAGTCTGGGATGTTTTATTTTTAAACTTGTACACAGTATTGATACATTCAGGCTGTTATGCGAATACCACAGCCTTCTGGTCGCCTCCCTGTGCTCTGCCACTGGCCAGCGTCTGCAGGCAGGCCAGGCAGTGCGTGCTCACAGAGGACCATCACCGTGACCAGTGCTTCTGGCTCATCTTTCTGAAGCGCAGATTCACAGTAGGCTGGTCTGGGCTGACTGAGAGTCTGTTCCTAACCAGCTCCGGGCAATACTGATGCGAGGGCCCGGGGACCCCACTGCCGTAGCGATGGTCCGTGGCACTTCCAAGAACACCTCCACTGTACGTTTATTTCTGCCAGCAAGCTAGAGGGACGTATGTGTGTGGGTGATATGTGGTCTCTCCATAAAATGTGCCCCGTCCGTCTTACTAACAGCCCTGGTCTGGACCGTTCTCCCTCCAGGACTGTCTGAAGGCTTGCCAGGAGCAGATCGAGGAGGTGCTGCTCAATAGCCTGCAGCAGTACCGCCAGGACCAGCGTGATGGCTCCAAGTCGGAGGACGAACTGGACCAAGCCACCACCCCTACAGACGTGCGGGACATCGACCTGTGAGGATGCCAGCCGGGCCAGGCGAGAGGCGCTCGTCATCTGCCTCTCCTTCTCTCTGGTTATGTTTTGTGATTTATGTTTTAGGAGGAAGCTTAAAAAAAAAAATCTACCCCCACCTAGATCATATTTAAAGATCTTTTAGAAGTGAGAGAAAAAAAGGTTCTATAAAAGCATAATAATTAAAAGCATTTGGTGCCTATCTCCAAGTACAGCATAAGGGAATCCCTTGCCTATGCGAACTGTTATTGTTTGGTTATGTAAAAGTAATAGTAAAATGCTTACAGGAGAACCTGCAGAGTAGCTAGAGAATATTTACGCCTGCAATATGGGAACAAATTAGAGGACACTCTTTTTTTCATGTTATAAACTAGCACATACACCCCTCTTAGTATAATTTCAAGGAACTGCGTACGCCACTTTTGGCACGATTGATTGCAAAGCAATGAACTCAAGAAGGAGTTAGAAGTAAGGGGAGACCTGACGGGGAGGGAATACAAAACACTCTCTCAACATGATCGAACCATGTTGGATGTAGAAGCGCCTTGGCACTCCCGCCTGTTGCAAGGTCGGGAGTGCTTGGTCTCTACTCCCACACTCTTGCTGTCTTCAGTAGCTGCTGCCTGAAAGAGATGTTTTGTCTTGCCAGTTGGACACAGGTGATTGGTTCTCGAGTTCCGTGTCTCGTGACATTCTGCTTCTATCCCCAAACATGGTTCAGTACAGACACCAGCAGATGGTTGTCTGATAGGGAGACCTAGCTATGGGCCATACCCAAAACTCACATGAAATGGAGGCAGATTGAAACCAAGGGTGGGATTTGGAATGGAATCTTTTCTCTTATTTTATTAAAGAGGGTAAAGTGACCTTGGCATCCCTTACCAGGAAAAAACTAATTTTTGGTGCTGATTGGCCTGTCTGGTCCACAGTTTAGCATTGTTATAAACCATTCCATTTGAAAAGCACTTTTAAAATTGTTCCCGAGGGATGATGGGATGGTTTATGCAAATCATGCTGAATACGCCTCTCCTCTCCTCTTACGCCCCCCTCCCTGCCCCCAGTCTGGGTTACTGTTCACTTCTGGTATCTGCCATAGTTCTGGTATCCCTACTAGGACTCAAGAGACGCCCCTTTCGGCTGACATTCCCATCATAACATTCCTCAGAAAAGCCTAAAAGCAAAGATCTATTACCACTTTGATGGCATTGAAGGATCTTAATTCCCATCTGATATTTCTCCTTTGGACGCGGAAAGAAAACTTATTGCTGGTGCAAAGACCGAGGGCTAAACGTCAGGGTGTGGCATTCGGTTCCCTTTTCCGTTTTTTTGGGTTTTTTTGGTTTTTCTTTTTTGTTAATTTTATTGCAAAGTTGTATTCAGCGTACTTGAATTTTTTTTTTTCCTCTCCACTTCTTAGAGGCATTCAGTTAGCAAAGAGGTTGGAGCAACAACTTTTTTTTTTTTTTTTGCACAATTGTAATTGACAGGTAATGAAGCTATTTGTTAAAATCTTTGCCTTTTTTAAGTAAAAAAAGAAAAGTCAGAACAGGGCTACTCTGAGAATTATTTTATACACAGATTCTGCCTTGTTCCGTAGTAAGAGGGTTGAAGATGGAGAAAATCTAAGGGTCTTTTATTTTTCATTTTATTTCGTTCAGTTTTTTTTTTTTTTTTTTTTTTTGCGCTGCTAAGAAGCTAAGATCGTTCATCCTTATTCACATTAACAGTACGTAGCTGTAATGTTTCACAGAGTGTGCTGCTATTTTATAAACATTTTTATAATATATTATTTTACTGCTTAAATTCCAAGTCCTGAAGTAGATGGTTGAGATATGAGTTCTTTGTACTGGAAAAGCCCTTCCATAGTTTTTCTTCTTCTGGTAGCATGTTCATGATTATTATTTTTTTTCTTTTGGGTTGTTTGGGTTTTTTTTATTTTCCTCTGATCACATTCTTCAAAGACAGAGTATTCTTTACCTCAGGTTTACTGGACAGAGACAATAACTACACAAGACCATGATTCACATTTTTGTTTTCATAATACCTCACAGCTGTACAGTTTCTGCTTGGGAGCCCATTAGCACGGTGGGGGTTGCAGTCGAATGTCCTTGGCAGGTGGAAGGTAGGCGGATTTAACCCCAGGGTCTCATCCCCAGGGACCTTTTCAGTCATGAAGGCCATCAGGCTCCCATTTTGACTCCGGTATCCTCAACATGATGGAAAAAATACATTGAACCAAGGGATCTTCCCTCCCCCACAGGACAGACGCTCACCCCGACCTTTACGCAGAGAACTCGGAGGTCGTAATGCACACTCAGACACTAGTTGTCGGTGCACAGACAGACAGGAGTTCCCTCAGGCTGCTTGGGGATCCTCACCTTACAGGCCCTGCAGATGTAGAACTTCCGTCTGCTTAGGGCTCTTTCGGCTTGAAAGTCTCCCGTCCACCTTCCTCCTTCCCTGGTATGGACGCCCTCCGTTTAGAATCATCTCCAGAGTTTTCCTAGGTCTGAATCTGGAGGTGGAAGGAGCTGCCACATGCTGCGTCGTGCTGCCTTCTCGGCCCACCTCTGTCCTGGGCTGTTGCAGGCCAGTGCTATGCAAGGCCAGGTCTCCCGCTAAGCGGTACTACGCGGCTTTCTGGTATAAATCGCATTGAATTGGCATGCTAGGAAAAACAGGTCAGGTGAGGATGGGATGGTAGTCGAAGAGGCGAAAAGGCTGCCTTCTCTACAGAGCCTAAATTCTGGGTGAGTCAGTCTCTCGTGAAGTGTTTAGGAGGGTTCAGAACTTTGTGAGTTAGCATGGCCCTAAAATTCTAGGGGATTTCTGGTGAGGCAGTGGGTGGTGCATTCTGATGTTTTGGAGAGGAAAGCTGAGCAGCCAGTAAGTTCACCAGGGTTTTATCAAGAGCCCATTTTGCATAGCACACTCTTCCGGGTCCCAAGGTGCCCACAGAATGGGGAAAACATGATCTCTGGTGTTCTTGGGAGTCTTGGCACTTAAAGAGAAAATGAGGTGTAAATTCATTAGTGATCAACCCTTGAGCTGAAACAGAAGCAGCAAATGAAAGATCCTGGCCAAGAAGGAAAAGGACAGGCCTACCAGATTCTGCCTGTAGTCTGAAACTTTCCACTTTTCTGGAGCCCCAGGTGCCTCCGGGCCCTCTGGTTTTTTTCTCTCTCCCATGCTTGGGGCCTACTGGGACTACCAATGGGGAAGTGCGGGCTTTCCTGCCTGCTCCCAGCTTCAAAGAAGGGATCTAGATTTGACAATGACCGATGCCTCTCCTTGGATTGTGGTCTCCTTGGTAGGAGCATTTGTCCCACAGGGGTTCAGTTCTCTGTGGATTTGAACTTTTTTTTTTTTTTCCTCACTCTCTCAATCCCATGATGGGGATTCCAGATCTATTTGAGTCTTTTTTCCACCTTGTCTTTCTTTCTCTTCTTTGTTTTTTTCTCCATCAGTGGGGGCTAGGATTTTCCCCCAGCCTGCCAAATTTTGACCCTTCCCCTATTTTGGCCAGATCCTAGGGGGAAGAAATCCTAGTATGCCAAAAATAATATGTTAAGCATAATTAAATCCCACGCAGGTCGGTGACCGCCAAGAAGCCTGTTCTCTCAGCAGAACGTCTCACGTGTGCTAAGAGGGCGAGCTCCTTGGAGAAAGGGCAGCTCTTAGAAGAGGCTTTGTTTTGAACTGCCCCAGGACCCCACTGGGAAGCACACCAAGTCTCACAGCGGGCTTCCTCTGGGCCTGATTGCTCTGTACTTGAGTCTGGGATCTGCCTCTTGTATCAGATGGTTCAGGGACAGGCGTGACTGGGAGCTGGGGCCTCGGCAAAGCCGTGAGTGGCAAAGCCAACCACCGGACTGCATCACAGCGCAGCCCTTTGCCCGTAGGATGGCGACTCTTTAGAGGGAGCTGTGGCTTTCCTGCAGTCCAGCACCTTGAGGGCCTTTTCCAGACCGTGCCCTGGGAGCTCCGGGACGGGCAGGCCACGACATGAAGCAGGATCGGATGATTTTTTTTTCAAAGAGGGCAGGGGAATCTTCTCTCCATGGGCCACAGGGGACAGGGCTGGGAGAAAAAAGACTTGCACCTTATGTCATGTAAATATTGATTGTCTAGTTCAAGAAGATAATATTGGTAGTGTGGGAACTGAGGTAGCAATGGGGAGGAAGCCTGAGAAAGCCAGTTGGCTTCTAAGCCAAAAGGATTCCTCTTCGTTTATCTTTGAGACAGTCCAACCTTGAGGATAGCTTTAAAAGGGAAACTAGTGTTGAGACGGTAAAGTCCCCTAAGCCAGCAAACCCTCTGTAGCTATAGGATGAGTCTGGGCTTCTGTGGGTGTGCATACCGGAGCAATTGACAAGAGCTGCTCATGCCGTCATCCATTTGTGCAAGAGAGGGTAGGAAGGTTCCAGAGGACGATCATTGCTTCTTCCTCATACCACGTGGTTTTTAAGGAGCCAGGCTACGTTTTGTGTCTGTTTTTACACTGATGGGCTAGCATACCCTGTTCTTGGCTCAGGTTTCGAGAAGCCATTAGCAAATATGTATACACATGGTGTCGCTACAGCATTGATTCCTTTGCCTACAGCCTATTCCCACAGACTGCGGTGGGGAAAAAAAAAAAAAAAAAAAAAAAAAAAAAAGTGCCTTACTGACTGTAGCCATTACACTCTCCAGTGTGTTCTGACAGGTGCCTGTCCTCAAAAAAAGGTCTATTTTTGATTGGTTTTAGTTCTCACTGGGGGGCAACGCTCGCAGCCCCAGCGAATCACTGGGCCATTGGATTTTTCCCATTATGTTCGTTACCCTTGTGCCATGTACCTCAGATCACTCGCTCTCTGTTAGAGTTTCTTGTCTTGGACTCTACTTCTTTTTTCTTTTTTTTTTTGGCTTTAATACGAGTGTAATGCCATATCAACTCAATGTTATTCTCTCACAGTGTACTCTAAGAGGTGTGGGTGTTTATTTGGTCTGGAAGCTAGAAAGTGCAGAAGTAGCATGGTGTGAACAAGGCTTTTAGGAAGTATGGAAACAATGGTGCATTGGCTATGACGCGGCGTGGAGTCAGCTGCCTTTGATGAGGTCTTATCTGTTCAGTGTTAAGTGATTTTTTTAAAAAAATAATAACCTGTCTTTCTGACTAGTTTAAAGATTGATTTGAAAATGGTTTTTGATGCAATTAGGTTATGCTATTTGGACAATAAACTCACCTTGACTTAAGGTCTCTGGCCATCTTGGACTTATTTATAGACGAGCAGTCTTCAGAATGGAACACATCTGTCCCATGTCAGAACTCTGTTGACAATGACGGTAGCGGCGTAAAATACTTCCCCTGGGTTAGCAGGTGATGTGGTGGTTAAGGTGCTGGACTCCCAATGGCTGACCACCGTTCAAGTCTTGGACCTGGTGACTTAAATCATGCCGTGTACCTATGGGCCCAAGATCCCATGAGGAGAGTGGAGGTGAAGGGATTGCAGTGTGGCCATAACCCTGGGGGTGATTTCTCACTTTCCCTCTCTCTGTCCAATGAGTGCATGTGCCCTTTGGCAAAAAAACCTGAAACTAAAAAATCTACCCTCGGCCGGCAGGTGGCATGGTGACTAAGGGTGCTGGACTCTCACATGGCTAATCATGGTTCAAGTCCTGGACCTGGCAGCTTGCTATCTCACTCTCTTTCTCGATCTGTCCCTCTCTGGTCAAAATAAAATAAAATAAAATAAATGAATAAAGTTAAATAAAATAATTCTTCAAAAAAGACACCACCCCTTCCCTAGAAGGTAACTTTCATATTTTTCTGTGTTACTTTCATGCAAGTAATGGCTGACATGTGATTTTTCTTTTGGGGGGGCTGCTCATGCTACCAGACTGTAAACGTGAAGCCCCAGTGGGCCTTCGTAAGGCACGAGGTCTCACCAGGTGATCCCCCAGTCTACTGGCAGCCACTCACTCCTGGCTACGAGTGAGCATCTCCTGGCCGGGAAGGGCCAGAAGCCCACAGTGCCCTGTCCTGATTCTGAGGAGTCTCTAGGGAGCTCTGTCCCTGCAGCATGCCTGGCTCCTGCCCCACTGTTCTTGGTGGCTGTCGTCCAATTTCTGATCCTCTCTGCATCCCTCATGTGAGGCCCAGGCCACATTACCGTTGGTGGAGGCTGGTAGGGCAGGCCTGGGACAGGTGAGATGGTCACCTTCACAGTAAACAAATTGCCAGGCTCTGGTCCCAGCTGCTCCTGGACCTTAGCTCCTCAGAGCAGCTTCTATCCCAGGAGTGGTGAGTATGCTGAAGGCAATAGCGTAACGCCCTTGGATGTAACCGTAAACATTCCTCTTCTACATACGGTAGTTCCCTGTCTCTTTCAGAGTTGTTGAACACTGTTTTCCAGTTTAATTATGATCTCCATTGCAAGTAATAAGATTAAAACCAGTCATGGGGGAGGTCCTCAATTAAGTAGTCCCTTTTGATCACAAGTAGCTCCACTTGATACGGACTTCAGCTAACAAGGACTCAAAATTCTCCTTGTCACCATCGTCCGTGGACCTCCTCTGTTCTTGAAGACACGCAAGGGTAACTTTTTCCTTGGGTTTCTGCCTGGAGAGATCTTCTGACTTCTTGGGAGTTTCCAGGGCCCCTGGTTGCCACTCTGAAGCATCCATGGAATTCTCTGCAAGACCTATTGTGCAGCTGGGTGGTCGTCCCCTCCCTCCCCACTTCCCCGCCGGGTCAGCGCTGTGTCTGTCCTTAACAGTCAGCGACACGTCCTCTCCCGGTGCCAGGTCATGGCCCCACTGGGCTGCTTCCATCACAGTCCACGCTGCTGCCAGTGAGAACCTGCCTGCCTGCCCCTGGGTAAAACACTGCACTACTCTGAAGCTGACCCACAGGGGGAGGTCCCTGATCTTGGGGAGTGACCAGATCTGAGCTGAACAATGGTGACCTGTAAAGACAGGAGGAACAGAGTGGAGCACAGACTCCCCTGGGTCGACGCTGCACAGCCGGCGGAGGTTAACGGAAACGTTCAGCCAGAGAAGGCCAGGTGGGGCTTATTTAGACGGTGTGTGTGTGCGTGTGTGGGGGAGCACAAGATGCTCCACAGCTGCAGTTGATAATAGAAGACACCTGGCCTTAGCTCCTGCTTCGCCTTCCCCTGTTGCCCTGTTAAAGAATAAACCTGGGGGGAACCAGCAGTTAGCGTAATGGCTATGTCGCTGGACTCCCACGTAGTCGACCGCGGTTCGTGTCCTGGACCCGGTGGCTTAAAACTCACGCCGGGCGCGTGTGCGTGCGTGCCCAAGATCCCGAGAGGAGAATGGAGGAGAAGGGATTGCGGCGTGACCATCCCCCCTGGGGGGTGATTTCTCGCTTTCTGTCTCTATGTCTCTCTCTGTCTGGCGAGCGCACGCGCCCTACAATGAAAATCTCTCAAAAAAAAAAAAAAAAAAGAATAAACCTGGGGACGGCTCAGTGACGTGGCGTTCTCCATAAGAGGGGTCCTGTCAGCCCGATTCCCACTTTTCTTTACTTGTGTGTCTCTGTGTGATGTTTCCCAAATCCACTTTTGCTCCATCGGTGGTGAGGGGATTCCTCCCCCCTTTTTGCCTACCAGGTCTCAGCACCTGTTCAGAGACTACCCTGAGTACCCAGGGCTGACCAAAGCCGAGTATGGATTGTGGCACCGCATGCTATCCCCCGCCCCCATAGAATAAATAAATAAACTTAAAAACAAAGATACCAGGTTGTGTAGTGGGTAAGGCACTGGACTCCCTCACATGGTCAACTGTGATTCAAGTCCTGGACCAGGCAGCTTGAAATTCTGTGCATGTGTGCCCAAAATCTCGAGAGGAGAATGGAGGAGAAGGAATTGTAATGTAGTCATCCTCCCTGGGGGGTGATTTCTTGCTCTCTGTCTCTGTCTCTCTGGTAAGCACACATGCCCTATAGCAAAAATCTCTCTTAAAAATACTGGGGGGACCAGCAGTTAGCGTAATGGCTATGTTGCTGGACTCCCACATGGTCGACCACGGTTTGAGTCCTGGACCCGGTGGCTTAAACTCATGCCGGGTGCGTGTGCGTGTGTGCCCAAGATC